TTTTTTAATGTGTTTAAGACGTTGAAAGCAGGGTTTACTCATTAAATACTGTGTGATGTTATGTCAACATGAGGCTGCCCCTTGCTTCTGAACTCTGATGCTTTGGTCGCTCTAGCTTCAAAGTGATTAATTTGGATGGACTGCGTGAAATGTGGTTTGTGTGGGTCTTGTCCAATTATCATCTGTTCTATATTTTAGTTGGGTGGATTTTCGGAACATTAGTTAACTTAGTTACTGCTGGAAATTATGGTCAATAATTTTTGCCCGTACAGATATGAATTTGAGTTTTCCTCCATAGAAGAATCAATTTTGAAAGCTAGTATTGACCCCAAATTCATATAGTTACATGATGGTTAGAGTGGAATCAAAATTCAGTTTGCTGCAGAAGCGTTATTGGAATTTGGGAAAAAGGTTTTGGATTTATTTTTTGTAGATCAGTTCTGAGTTGTAGTTTTTTGGATAACAAGACAAAATAAACTAATTAGTTCATGATACCTTAACAACAAAGGATATTTGTGTCTTGATTAATTTTGATTCAATCATATATCTATATCTCCAGTGTGCATCGTTGACTTCATGGACTGGCTGTTTTAAGTACATCCAAAAATTCCTTATGTCAATAGCTTAAATATAACTGATAATTTATTCCAATTGATGTCCATACCATTATATCAAAACATATATTCTAGTCTTGTAAGTTCGTTTTCTACTGAGCTTGGATAATAGCTGGTGGAAATCGGTATTTGAACTCAATTGTCATGACTGATTATAGAATATGCTTTGATCATCAGATGTGCACATTGTGTAAGGTTATCTTTTTCTTTGAATAAAATTAGCAGGAAAGAAGGTTAGGTTTCATGGAAGCTATGAAATTTGAAATAGAGCGTCTGAAGCTGAATCTTTCTGCCGCTGAAAGAGATCGAGCCCTCTTATCAATTGGGGTCGATCCTGCTAGCATTAATCCAAATACATTGCTTGAGGATTCATACATGGGGAGATTACACAGGGTGGCCAGCACATTGGCATTGTTCGGGCACGCTTCACTGGAAGATAAAATTACTGCTTCCATTGGGCTTGGAACATTTGATAGATGTTCCATAGATTTTTGGAATGTTTCAGCAATTGGGGAAAGGTGTTCAGGTGGTGCATGCCAAGTTTGTGCCGAAACTGGGCTTGTTGGGGATGGGTCATTGACCTCATCATCATCAGCAAAATCGGAATCCATTTTTGTATGTGTTGATTGTGAGAGGAAGGTCTGCAGAATTTGTTCTGCAGGAAAAGGTGCTCTTTTGCTTGCAGGCCATATCTCAAAGGATATTTCAGGTTACAACAACATAACTAGCCAAGGAGGTTCAGTTGATTCATCTTCCAACCGCTTGCCAGCACTCGATGGGATTATTTGTAAAGAATGCTGCCCCGAAGTTGTACTTGACGCCTTGGTGCTGGACCTTGTTAGGGTCTTGATTGGCCAACGAAGAAATAATAGGGCGGATGCTGCTGCCGAGGAAGCATTGAACCACGTGTTTGGATTATCCTCGAGAGATTTACCCCTCAAAAGAGATCACTTTTTAAATAGTCAAGGAGCTGCTAAGGTCTTAAAGAAATTAACAGATGGAGAAGAATCACTTGCAGAATTTCCGTTTGCCAGTTTTTTACACCCGGTATCACAATGAACTAGCTTGTTATTGTCTTTAAATTGCTCAGTTCTGTCATTTTCTCTGTTCCTTTTCTTATTTAAATTGTTATCCGAAATGCTATGATTGCTTTTGGAACCAACAGTAAAAAATAGTTCTTAATTAGAAGCCTAATTATTATAAGAACATTTCACCTTCTTTCCTGGTGTGCTTCAAAGACTCAAAGTCATGGTTCTATATCTTTTACATTTCTGTGCATCTCCATAGCCAGGTATTAGTTTAATCTGATGATCGGTAATTATTGACAGCCCCATGCCATTTATTGCATTCTAATTTACCAGTGACGATGACTTCTATGCTGATGACTTTTAAACTGAAAAATGAACATTTGTCTGATCATACTTGGGTTGCTGCCTTTAATAGGGATATGATAAAAAACAATGGTCTGCATTTTTGTATGCTACACCACTTAAATACGTAAATTGATGGATTTGCACTTCTCTAATCCATAACACATGGAGTTACATGGTCACTTTGTCCACCTTTGTACTTGGGGAAAGAAAATTGGCGTTTCTCTCTCGGTTGTCTTGAAGATTAA